ACGTAGCTCCAAGGCCAGCTCTTAGAGGTCTATGATACTCTGCACTCTTCTACATCCTAGGACCATATACCTCCAGGGGGGTCTCTGATCAAAACCACTCATCACAAACTCAGAGCTCCTTGAAGGCAGGGCCTGTGTGTTTCATCTCTCAACTCCCCAGTCCTGACAGAGTGCATGGAACAGCAGAAGTGTTCTAAGCATCGACAGAATAAACAAACAAATGAATAGATTTCAAACAAAACAAGTCTTTTAGTATGCCAACCCATATCTGACTTAATATTTATCCAATTAACCTATTGCTTATCTTCAGTTTTATGTGAATTATTTTCTCAACCATTCATTAATATTTATGGGGTACCTACTCTAGAGTGGCACTATTTTAGGCACTGAGAATATAATTATTGAATTGGACAAAGTGCTTTAATCTCATGAGTAAAGTGCTTCCTGATGACTAGAAAAAACAATGTACCATCTTATGCATTAGCACACCCATGTGCACCTGCCTGTACTTGCTGAAACAACCTTGCCAACCATTTAGGACATATGGACTAAATGGAATTAACCTTTGAATCACATTGAATGACCTGGGTTTTATACACTGTGAGGCCATCTAATGCAAAACCTCTGAAGAACCCCTTCAGATACTTAGGGTTGAATTGAAATTTTGTCCTATTAATTATACAGGACAGTGACATTGGGTCTGGACTCACTTGTATACTCTAATTAAATTTACCACCTGGCACATAGTAGACCCTCAATAAATATTTATTAAATGAATTAATCATATAATACTCATAATGGCTCATTTGTGATATATTAATAATATATAAAATTCTCAGTAATATATTCTCTATTGCAACTTGATTTCTCCTACACTGTTAATTCAGTATTAAATGGTCATTTGCTCCCGTTTTCTTTGACTAGTTCACGGCATTAAAACACTGCTTTCTTCCCCCAAGCTTTCAATTTAAATATGCTAGCAGAAATTCCTATTAATTCCATTCCAAGTATTTGCACAAAACTGATCCACCATAGCCGTCTGCTAATGATGCATCTGTCATTTTATTGACACCCCTAAACAGCTTTATTCTCTTTTCTAATTAAGAGACAAAACTGGTATTGTCAGCTGATGAACCGACATTTGGGGGCTTTTGTTCTAATGTAAAAGGCAACACATTATGATGCTAAAACAAAAACTCAGGAATGTTAACAGAAAAGCCCACTAGACAAAATATATTTACACGTACAATTTGAATTAAGCTTGTTATAAGCCTAATAGTCATACAATATTTTGAGTTACAGGGAAAAAATATACACTGTGGCAAAATATATTCAAAACAAAAAGTGGCGGTTCCTACCCTAACTGGCCATTAAAATTCAGAACAAAGCATTCTCATGTGCTTACCAGACAATCAAAAATCATACAGAAAAAAACCCTAAACCTTTTAAAGCCAACCAAAATGATGTGCTGGGATATAAGTTATCATTATAGAGGTACTAGTAACATTTAAATAACAGCTAATAAGAGCTAAAAGTTCTTGTAGAAAAAAAAAAAAAAAAAAAAAAAAAAAGGAAAAAGCGGAAAATTTTAGGAGCCAAAAAAAAAAAAAAAAACAGAAAAGAAAGAAAGCAACGATTTCCTGGTGATTATATTAGCTAATTTCCAGAGAAATGACAATTACATACAAGTACAGGACTAACAGCTTACCAGAACGTTCTCAAGCAACTGAGGAGGACAGGCTATAAAAGCTCTATCGCCATCACATTAAAAATCTAATCTAAAATCATTGCATGTCAGAAAATTAAGGATTCATCAAAATATCCCCAAAGGTAACGTGATGGAAGGAATGCATAAGAAGGAACCACGCTCCTTGATTTTTTTTTTTTTTTTTTTTTACATAGAAATGTATCTTAAGATCTATGTTTTAAAATAAACTAAATATAAAATCTGGTCTGTTAAATGAGATCATTGCCATGTAGTTAGTGTACTTTCTGGCACATAATAAGTGTTTGACAACATTAGGTGTTCTTATTGTTGTTATTATTACTGAGATGTCAGATTCAGCTCATTGCTGTTCACAGTTCCCTCCCAAGGCTTAAAGGAACCCAAGAAAGATTTCTTGCAGTTAAGCCATGATTCCAGCGAATGCTGTTTCTACCTGTCTTTCTGGAGACTCCGGTTTGATTCTCTAGTTGCAAACTCTTGCCTTATACTTAAATTCTCCTGCTCTGCCTAAATGCTTAGAGCTGTCCTAAGTTCTGACCTGTATGTCTTGCTTTTATTGTCCGTTTCATCCCAACTTGTCTTCTGTATCACTCTCAGTATAGGGACTATGGGTGAAACCTACCACGCATGTAGCCTATAGTCAAATTCCTACTTGTTGAGAAGGAGAGCCTGGGTATGTTATAAAAGTGGGTATCATTTCATCAGGCCTGCTGTCTGCATACACCAAGGTTGAGAGTCTACTGATTGCCTTGCCGGGAGTCCCTAAAAGAGTTAGACATTGATCCATACCTAGAGAGGCATATAGGGTGACAACAAAATCAACTTACAAGTTACAAATAAAATGCTGGCTTATCTGTCATTTCCCAGGATATTCTGAACAAGCAAAGAGGTGGGATATATGTGGTGATATTCAGAGCAAAGCAAAACAGAGTCTACAGTCAGTATTTGGTAACACACTGCTGCTAGGGATGCTCCTTCTCTTCTGGTCACATACTGCTGCTGCTGGGGATGACCCTTCTATCTATAGAGAAATAAAGAGGAAAACGCTGCTTTGAGGTAGAGAATATCCAGTGAGAACCATGCCTGTAGGCAAATGTAGCTGATGTTTCAGATAGGATCCTATCCACATGGGATGAGAACTGCACAGGTCCTTCTTATCCCAAGAAATTGGAACTCTTGTGGAATTTGACAGAATTGCTTTTGTTTAATAGCAATGCTGTGTGTGTGTGTGTGTGTGCGTGCGTGTGTGTGTGTGTGCGTGTGGACAGAGAGAGAGAGAGAAGCAAATAAACTGTGGTGCCAAATTCTGAAAAGCAAGACAGCGTAATGGCAACTGGGCTTAAGAATATATTTGATTGCATATATGTTGCATATATATGACAGTCCTTGTATGGTTTGAGTTTCTAGTGGGCAGGAAAGATAGAGTTGGCGATTCATAACCCTGTGAAATTTTCATAATCTTTTTGTTAAAATCCCACTTCATCAAGATGGTCAGACAGCATGTTAGCTTGATAGTCAAACTATTTTTCTACATTTCATATATTCATTCACTCATTCAATAGTTTGGAGAATAAAGAGCTGACCAAACACAGTGTCTACTTTGAGACTTCCCTATATAACTTATTTGTAGAAATCAATGGACAGAGATTTCTATCATCACTACTTTATATGCCAGTGACAGGGGCTTATAGAGAAAAACAGGGAAGGAAAGTTCGTTGTCAGATTTGTGCTGTGTAGATAGACAGAAATAATCTTTAAAAACATGTTCTTCCCTTTGAAAATATTTTTTATTGCTCTAAGTTAAATATGATTCTTTAAAAAAAAATTGGGCAAAAGGCTCAAGCCAGTAAATCCTATCAGAGACAGTTCCATATTTTTTAAACAAATTATTATATATTTCCAACATTTTTTTCTTGCTTTCTAACTTCCATTTTTATTTCTGAAAGTTTTACATGAAAGGGAACAGAAAAACCTTTCCCCTTGAATTTATCCCCATTATAGCAGATTTTATTCTCAGGAAAACCAACCTATCTTTTCCTAACCCTCCTGTGACTGCTTTTAAACTGCTTTATTGAAATATAATTGACATATAAATATCTGTATATATTTAATGTATAGAACTTGGTGTGTTTGAAGATAAGTATCTACTTTCGAAACCATCATAACAACTAATGCAATAAATTTATCCAGTATCTCCAAAAGTTTCCTTCTGCCTCCTTTTGTCGCCTGCTTTGTTTTCTGTTGTTTTCCTTTTCTGGTAAAAGCACTTAACATAAAACTTATCCTCTTAGCAAAATTATAAATATATGATAGAGTATTGTTAACCACAGGCCCTATGTTGCAGGGTAGATCTTCAAAACTTACTGTGCATAACTGAAACTTTGTACCCTTTGATCAAAATCTCCCCATTTCCCCCTCCCTCTATTCCCTGAAAATAGCCCTTATACTCTGCTTCTATGAGTCTGACTACTGTAGATTCTACATATAAGTAAGATCACGTCATATTTTTTCTTTCTTTGTCTGTCTTATTTTATTCTGTTTTTTCCTCCTGTGACTTTCTCCTATAAACTTCTTTCATCGCACCTTCATTCTTCTCTCCAGTGTTGCACGTGCTTATTTGAGTCTATCAAACCTTATTTGAATCTAACAAGCCTTCCTTTCAAGAACACTCTCACACTCCTAATATGTTCCTAATATATTCCTAACATGTTCCTATATCATCCAGTTGATGAGCTCCACCAATCCCTCATCCTCTCACTGGAGGAAAACGCAACAGTCCCTACCCAAACCAGGTCTGTGCCTGAAGGACAGCAGTCCCAAATTTCTACTTGATTTAGACGAAAAACATGAAATCAGACCTTCTGTTTCCTGTGGCACTGAGGCATTGTTTCATTTAGAAAATAAAAGTGTCTACAACTTAAAATAATTCATTAAAAAACCACTCTTTGGGCCCTTCAAAAATTAAACACAGAAAATAAAGGTGGTGACAGTTGCCAATGACACAAATTTCAGATACTTGAGGCAGAAATGTGGTTTCAATGAAGCACATCAGAGGACAATAAAAGGATTCAGCTGATCCTGATGGGATTATATGCTTTCACTTCTTCTAGCTTTTAAAATTAAAATTAAAATTTGAAACAATATTTAACAATGTTATGTTACATTTGTGAGAAAGTAAGGCTTTCCTTAGCATCTTTCCATGTCCATTTTCCATGGAAACTCTGGGCCCAGTGAGCTCATGCCGTCTTCACTTCAAGTACGCTGCACCAAATACCACCCAGGTCCACTCTATCTGTAAATGCTTCTTTCCAAAATTACTTTCCTTGTTTACTCATACGTTGCTCAACATCCACTCCACCTGCCTCTCACCAGAATTTTCAATTTTCTCACTGGAAATTATTTCAAACATTTAGAGAACCGTAATGTGATTGGTTCAATCTGTGTCTTAAGTACAAGTTTTAAAATGTTTGTGGATGCAAATTAATAGACAATAAAACAGAAATAAAAGCATTTCTAATTATCTATGAAAAGATAATTAGAACTTTCTCCCCGCTTTTGCACATTCTTTTTTGGTGGAAAATAGGATCAGAACGTCAACACTACTTCACATTCTCTGGGCCTGTTTCTTTGCTCAGCCAGTTAATCATTCCCCAGTCGTCACGGAGTGTTTCTTCCACTAACCGTTCACTATAAATACTGGTGGGGGAAGGAAGCTGAAAAGACAGGTGTGCTCCTTTTGCAGCAGCCAGCAAAGGATCGCTAAGATGGCCCCTACAGAACTTCACCTCCTGATATTCACACCCTGTGCAGCTTTCTTCCGCGTTGAACCAGGATGGATTTGTGTGACAACTATTGTAAGGCAGAAGTGATGCTATGTCACTTCCCAGGTTAGGTTATAAAAAATTGTGGTTTCAGTATTGGAGTCTTTCTCTCAGATCACTTGCTCTGATGAAGCAAGCTATTATGTTGAGAAGAGCCCTGTAAAAAGGTCTGCATATTGAGCAGCAGGTCTCTGGCCCATTACCAGCAAGGAACTGAGGCCTGCTAGCAATCATGTGTGTGAGCTTGGAAGCAGATTCTTCAGCCCAAGTTGAGTCCTGAGATGGCTGCAGCCCAGCCAACATTGTGATTGCAACCTCATAAGAAACCACTAAGAACCACCCAGCTCAGCCTTTCCCAGATTCTCGGACCTCAGAAACCATGAGATAATAAATGTTTGTTATTTCAAGATGCTAAATTCGGGGGGCAATTTGTTACGTGGCAATAGATAGCTAATACACATTTGGCATGGATGGTACAGGATATAAATATGGTGCACTGAGCTGTAGCCAACATAGAAGCATAACTGAGCAAATTGTCAAGGTATTAAGAGAAAAACCCAGTAGATTTCTTATTGGAGTGGCAGGGGAAAGCTTTCCATGGAAGGTAACATCTGAGCTGTGATTTTATAGATGGGCAAACGTTCATTAGAAAATGAGAGGAGGAAATGATAGGCCAGACAGATGGGATGGCAGTAGTGAATGCACAGCTATGCAAACTGATAACTAGAAATGAGGAAGTAGCTCAACACTGCCAGAGTAATAGGGTGCAGTTTGGCTGGGATGGGAGTCGTGGATTGTGAAAGACGAAGCTGGAAAGAGGTGGGATGAAGCCAGGTTGTGAAGCATGTGGAACACAAGGCTGAGCAGCTAAGACTCATCTACAGACAAAAGTGAGCAAGTGTGCATTTTTTAAAGTAGGAAAGTGCCTAACCAAAAGGCACTAACCTTTTTTTTACTGCAAGGGATACAGAGGAATAGAGATGCCCATTTCTGATCAGATATTTCCTCCATTCCTCATTTCAACCACTGACAGTCTCCTGGGACTTAGGTCTGAGACAAGCTTATTCCTCGGTGACCTCTCTTCAAACACTCTTTCTATGTGGCTTCCTTATTTGGCTTCTACATCATTGGTTGATGCTTCTCAGTTCCCCTTTCTGTGTTCCCCACCTTTCCAATATCTCTGAACACTCAAAAGCCTCGGAGCTTAGTTTTCAAACATCTGCTCCTCTCTGCACTTGCCCTAGAGCGTGGTGTCCAGGCTAGTTGCAACAGCGCCTGATACCATGGTATACTGGAGACATGTCAGCTCAAATCTCCAGCCTGGCGCACTCCTCTGAAATCCAGACTCCTAATCCCGCTGCCTATCCATCATCTCCACTTGGAGGTCTATTAACATCTTAAATTTCACCTATCCAAAATGAATGCTTAATTTTTCTATCAAGAATGCTTCTCCTTCAGTGTTCCACAACTCAACAAATGGCAGGCCACTACACCCAGTAGCTCAGGCCAAAAAACTTGATTGAATCTTGACTTCTTTCTCTCACAACCCACATATAACATCAGCAAATCACTTTGTTCTACCTTCAAAATATTTTCCAAATCCAAGTAGTGTTTCCTCTCCATCCAGATCACCATTATCCCTTTGCTGCATGATCACAGCAGCCTTTCTCTGGTCTAATGCTTCTCCCCCATTAACAGTGTATTCTTTACAATAGCTAGGACTTGGAAGCAACCTGAGTGCCCATCAATAGATGAATGGATATAGAATATGTGGTACATATACACAGTGGAGTATATCTAGCCATTAAAAAGAATGAGATCCTGTCATTTGCAACGACATGGATGGAACTGGAGGACATTATGTTAAGTGAAATAAGCCAGGCACAGAAAGATAAACTTCACATGTTCTTACTTATCTGTGGGATCTAAAAATCAGAATAATTGAACTCCTGGGCACAGACAGTAGAGAGATGGTTACTACAGGCTGGAAAGGTAATGTGGGTTGTGGGGAAGGATGGTTAATGGGTACAAAAAAATAGAAAGAATGCATAAGACCTACTATTTGATAGCACAATAGGAATACTATAGTCAGTAATAACTTAATTGTATATTTTTAAATGACTTAAAAGAGTGTAATCGGATGGTTTGTAACTCAAAGGACAAAAACTTAAAGTGATGCTTGAGGAGATGGACAGCCCATTCTCCATGATGTGCTTATTAAATACTGCACATCTCCATCAAAGCATCCTGTGTACCCCATAAATATACACACCCACTATGTACCCACAAAAATAAAAATAAACTGTGTATTCTCCAGACTGATGTTCCAGTGAGCCTTTAAAAATACTTTTTTTCCCTGTTCCTACACCTTGTCAGTCACGCTGTAACCTTGGGGCATTTTGCACTCGGAGGTTCCTGGGTCTGGAATATTGTTCTTCTAGACACCCTTATGGCTCAGTTTATTCCTGTTGCTGTTCGAACGGCACCTATTTAGAAAAGCTTCTCCTGACTCCCTGTCTGCATGCTCCTTTCACCACCCCATCACACTCTCTCCCTTACCTTCATTCCTTTTCTTTATATCACCTCACAGATAACTGGTCTTTTTGCTTACAGGGTATGATCTGTCTCATCCATTAGAAGGTAAACCCCATGAGGGCACAGGTACTGACCAGGAAAGTGGGTCAGGGTAGGCATTCAGCAAATAATTGTTAAATCAATGCATGGTTGGGTTTATACACTCCTCATCCCAAATACTGTATATGAGTGAGACAACATAGCATAAGAGGGGCAGCAGAGTGTGGTAGTATAAATCAGGTGGTCCTGAACCATACTGCCTCACTAGCTGTGTGGTGCTGAGCAAGTTCTTTCATCTCTTTTTGCCTCAGCTTCTTCATCTATAAACTAAGGACGATAACAATATCAACTATTGGTTGTTACCAGAATTAAATTAATTGATATTTTTAAAGTGCTTACAACAATGCCTAGAATGCCAAGTATATGATAAACCCTGTATCAGGCTGTGTTAAAATAATTAAATAAGTTAATAGATTTGCTAAGCAGCAGAATAATGCTAAAGTATAATTTATTTATATAACTCTATACTAAATATATTTATTTAAAAAAATGTATAAGGTCACAATCAGCATGTCAATATTTCTTCCCAGTTCAAAGATGATGTCACTCAAATGTACCTACAAATGGCACCTTCCCAAGCAATTGCCAGCAGGCGCTCAACAAATGTTCGGTGACAGATCCAATTAATGTCTGCCTTCATTTTTCTCTTCTATATAATATAGAAATGCACAATAATATCAAATGAAATTACTCCTAGACATCTCTCCAAAGAAGATATACAAAACAGACACATGAAAAGGCACTCGACACCACTAGTCATTTGGGAAAGGCAATGCAAAACCACAATGAGACACCACTTCACATCCACTAGGATGGCTCTTATCAATAACCCAGAAAATGACAAGTTTTCATAAGGATATGGAGAAATCAGAGCCTTCACACACTGAATGTAAAATGGAGCAGGCACTGTGTAAAACAGTCTGCCAGATTCTCAGAAAGTTAAACACAATAATACCAAATGACCCAGCAATTTCACTACTAGGCATATACCCAAGAGAAAAGAAATTACAGGTCCGTCCATTCAAAAACTTGCACACAAATGTTAATATCAACATTATGCATAGTACGTAAATGTGGAAGGGATCAAAATGTACATAAACTGATGAATGGATAAAGAAGATGTGGTATATCTACACAATAGAATATTATTCAGTCATAAAAAGGAAAGAGCTATTAACTAATGTGACAACTTGAAAACATTATGCTAAATGAAGAGTCAGTTACAAAAGACCACACATTGTATCATTCCATTTATACGAAATGTCCAGAATAGGCAAATTCGTGGAGAAAGAAAGTAAATTAGTGGTAACCTAGGGATGAGGGGAGGAAGGAATGAGGAGTGGCTGCCAACAGGGTTTCTTTCTGGGGTGATGAAAACGTCCTAAACTTAGATAGTAGTGATGGTTTCACAGCTTTGTAAATATACAAAAAAAATTGATGAATTGTACACTTGGAAATAGTGGATTTTACCATGTGTGAATTACATCTCAATTAAGAAAAATTTAAAATGCCCCAAACAAAACAAAGCAAAACAAAATGTGGTAATATCTAAAGTACGTAGCACATAACAGGTGCTCAAGAAACACAAATTTTTCTCTTAAAATTATGTAAGCCTCAAAAATACACAATAAAACTTACTTTAAAAATTACTCCTTGGATAATTCAGTTTCTCCAAGTATTTTTCAAGTATGTGTTATTCCATATAGCTGGGAAAACAGCTCCACCTGCTTTTAATAGTGTGAAAAGTGTAATAATAAAAGCCCCGCTCGTTACTTGTAGGTCTTTTCTCTAGATACTATATTTCTCACCCTTCAGTGAATCTACCTAAGGTTGTCTG